AAGCAGTGGTATCAACGCAGAGTACTGCATGATTCAGGCTCCAGTCTACAAAATTCGCCGAGTTACGAGCCTACGAAAACACGTTCTCTGAATCTTGCTCGAATGCTTGAATGTAAAGATCGCAAATTTCGTCGAAATTCCACCGTGAGTGCTTGTATGACACTCGCACTGCGGATATAATGTTCGCTTCGCTCAATAACTCCACTGTGTTATTGGTTATGGTGCTTGCGTGTGCTTCAGCAATTGAATATCAAAGCTGTTTTGTGGCTAGAGCTCAAATCACCAAACCTTTTTGTGGCTAGAGCTCAAATCACCAAATCTCACAAGAAGATCTACTAAGAATGTGAAAAGATTTGATCAGCGTGTTGTACAAGCACTCATGGTGGAATTTCGACGAAATTTACGATCTTTACATTCTGAGCAAAATTCATGAGAACGTGTTTTCGTAGGCTCGTAACTCGGCGAATTTTATAGACTGGAGCCTGAATCATGCACCATTCGATAGCACATCTCCTAGTAACTTTGACTTAGAAAAGCAAGCCGGCAGGTTTTCTGACAGATACTTGAGAGGTGGAGGCGAAGTTACGAGCTTTCGTGATGCAGTTACAGTCACCTCACCGTATCTCTCCAAGAAGACCCTGTAATCCTCAAAGACCACGATTTTCGTAAAGAGCGTGTTCGAAAACCTCTATAAGCGAAGTTTCCTTACAATTCAAGATCATGAACATTTTGACCAAAATCCATCGGCCAGCTTCAGAGCGTAAAACGAGAAAAAATGAAATTACTCGAACATCTTGGAAAACTTGCTTTTAAGGGTTATCCGACCTGCTGATTACGAAAATCACATTTGCTTAGCAAGAGAGCTTCATATTTTAGAGTTACGTTGAGAAAAATTTAGAACGACATGGTTTTTCCAGAATTCACCAGCCCTTTTAACTCCTATGGAAAGATGCCTGTGACTACTTTTTAGCGCTACGTAATCTACAGAAAAAGTACTATCGAAAGGTCCTTGCTGGAGTCTACTAGGGGCAACGCGCGCTGCTTTACACCTTCACGAAAAGACGTCTACAGAAAGATTTTAGAATATTGAAATCGGAATATCAAGGATATGCTGTATATCGAAAGACTTGCCTTGATGAACTGAGCACAAAGCTTTCTTCGGATTCAGAATATGTTCATTCCGAAGGAAGTTACGGCGAGTAGAATTTAGAAACGCGTGATTTTTCCAAAATTCACCAACGCTTCTATCTCTTTTGGAAGATAGTCTGCAGCTACTCTTGAACGCACGATAACCTACAAGGACAGTACTATCGAACAGTGCTTACTGGAATCTTTGTTACACAGATGCTGCGTTACATCCTTGCGAAAAGACCTCCACAGAAAAAATTCGAAAAAACTGGAAATGGAATATCGAGAGCAAACTGTATATCAAAATATCTGCCTCAACGATCTGAACACAATGCTGCTTCTGGATTCGGAATATATTCATTCCAAAGGAAGTTATGGCGTTGCGTACTCTGCGTGATTCGCATGGTTTCGCGGATCCTGAAATGCCGCGAACTTCCCGGATTATCGCGCTTGGCGGAAATCCCCGAATTCCGCGAAGTTCACGGAAATTTTGACATTCTGTGCGCGGTATTGTGATCTTGAGCAGATCTTAGAACAAATTCGATCAGAGTGGCTCTCTACCATACTCCTATAGTATACTGTCTATGTGTCATCAGCGACAGATCAATGGTAATACTCAGGGTAAAGCGGGGGGTGCGGCACTCGACCGTCGGATACGACCCCCCCCCCCCCTGATTGCTGTCTTAATAAGACCCCCCTCCTAAACTATACACTTAAGATAGTATTACCTGAAGGCTCTGTCAAACATAATGGACAACATATCCATAATTAGCATGTCAAATACCCCCTGTAGACAAAGTGTGAGCGAATTCTGAAGATTCAAGATACTAGGCTACCTAAGTGAAATGGTCAAATTCCAACATGGTTAACTTTGTTTTAAAGGTGAATTAGCTATCCGTTTTTGCACTCAAGACAAAGCACTACTCCTTCTTTGTCCACCTCAGGAATCCCGCTTCAGAAGACCTCCAAACTGTGGAATTAGAAGCCAACCAAAATCTCATTTTTCCCATTTTTCGCTTTTGATGGCTGTGCTTTCACCAAATATTACTCAGAGCTAAGAAGACGAATCAGGCTCAAAACATCCCTATGGAATCTACGAGGTTTAGGCTATCGATTCATATAAATATTGTCCGCTAAAAATGTTTTTTTGATATAGTTAATGGCCTGCGGCACCCCTGCGGCACCCCTGCGGCAGCCGCAGGTTTTGAGGGGGGGGGGGGTGCCGCAGGCCATTAACTATATCAAAAAAACATTTTTAGCGGACAATATTTATATGAATCGATAGCCTAAACCTCGTAGATTCCATAGGAATGTTTTGAGCCTGATTCGTCTTCTTAGCTCTGAGTAATATTTGGTGAAATCACAGCCATCAAAAGCGAAAAATGGGAAAAATGAGATTTTGGTTGGCTTCTAATTCCACAGTTTGGAGGTCTTCTGAAGCGGGATTCCTGAGGTGGACAAAGAAGGAGTAGTGCTTTGTCTTGAGTGCAAAAACGGATAGCTAATTCACCTTTAAAACAAAGTTAACCATGTTGGAATTTGACCATTTCACTTAGGTAGCCTAGTATCTTGAATCTTCAGAATTCGCTCACACTTTGTCTACAGGGGTTAATTGACGTGCTAATTATGGATATGATACGAATATCATGTTATCGCTATAATCAGATCACCTAACTACGACCCCCTCCCCTTTTGACTCCTCAATACGACCCCCCCTCTGCGGCGTGCCGCACCCCCCGCTTTACCCTGGTAATACTGTTATCAGCACAGTGATCAACCAAAATAATAATCGATAATTTTGAAAACTAATATTGTATTCGGAATCCCCATGCTCGATTACCCCCCTGTGCAAACTCCCAGCCCCGTAGCTCAAACTTTGCAAAAAAATCGATAAAATCGATAAAAGTAATCGATAATCCTGAAAACTAATATTGTATTCGGAATCCCCATGCTCGATTACCCCCTGCGCAAACTCCCAGCCCCGTAGCCCAAACTTTGCAAAAAAATCGATAAAATCGATAAAAGTAATCGATAATTCTGAAAACTAATATTGTATTCGGAATCCCCATGCTCGATTACCCCCTGCGCAAACCCCCAGCCCCGTAAGTGAACTCTGCAAAAAATCGATAAAAATCGATAAAATCGATATCGATCGATAACGAAAAGTAGCCTATGACACCCGCCGGGGCCCGAAGTGTACGTGTGCCAAGTTTGGTCCGGATTGGTTCAGAAATGGAATTTTCTATTCGGAGCATACGTACAGGCAAACAGACAAACAGACGTTCAGCTTCATATATAAGATGATGCGTCTCGCCGAGCTGAATCGAACGGTGTCCTCGGATTCAGAATTCGTCCATTCTGAAGCGAGATATGACTAAATTGACGATCATTCCGGCGCACTGCGGCGGAGTGTGGCGCACTCTGCCACACTCCGGCGCACTGTGGGAGTGTGGCAGAGTGCGCCACAGTCCGGCGACTTTTTTGACGAATTATGAGCGGTATTGTATAATACTCATCCCCTAGTGGGGAACGACCGAACCTTGCTTGGGTGCAACTCTTAAGCGCATTTGTCGCGCTTTCGCGCGCGGCGGGTGCGCCTAATACATAGGTGCGCCTTATACTCTGGAAATTAGGTACTTTGCTTTGCAAATTCTTGAATCCGTGATACAAACGAAGTGAGTATTGATTTCTTTGCTTGTTGGTTTTTTGGCCTTCTGGTATTTTCGCTCTGTAAATGGAAATCACTGCCGCTTGCGCAAGGAGACGGCATCAAAACTTTCATCGTGCAGTTCATATTAAAACTTAGTGAAGTGCTGAATCCCTTGTTCAGGTATGCCACCTCAGGAGCGACTACCTCTATATCCGTTTGAGGGTTGCTCCGCTACCAGATGAAGTGGTAGCTTTACTCGAAGAGTCGGCAGAGATTCTGAAGTTTATAAAAGGAGACCATGTAGATGACACGACTTTGACAGAATTCAAGTGAGAGTTTCAGTACCGTATCTTTGTGTACCTCTCACTCATACCTTCTCCAGGGCAAAGCTGTTGGCTGTTTGCGAAGAGAATTTGCCCTCTTATCGAGGACCTTGGTGGTACAGAAAGCGCAAAGAAGACAATGCCGAACTTGTTAAAAGGGTCAGTGGATAAAAAACCTAAAAAAAATTCTAGATTTGGTTTTGGTCCAGGCAGAGCCAAAGCTAACACTCTCCTCAATGGATTTCCTAACTATCATAAAAAGCCTATATGGTACAGCAGTGAGTGACTTGCTAATCATTTTCTACTCTCCTCAAGCTTTTCAGAATCCGAGCAAATTTACACCACGTATCTGCTAGTGAACATGTGCAAATTTTTTTTATGGGGCTCCGCCCCGGACCCCGCAAAAACCATATCCTCTTTGCTTTTTCCTCCAAAAACAAAGTCCAGCCTGATTCTAGACGATCTGTGCCAGGCCTTGGATATGACAGACTCTCCATTTTCAGTAATCTCAAGCGTTCTTCAAATATGGGAAGGAAAGGGATAGGCTGAACTCGAAAAGATCGAAAAAACAAAAGTCTAGTAAAGACTTTCTGAACGCTCTCCAAGCTTCGTTTATGCTTTTTAAGGAAGGGGCACCATACCTGGCTTGCATATTCCAGCACGGGGATGACTAGGGCTTTGTGAAGCTTTAACAACATTTTCATACTTGTTGTCTTGATGTTACGAAATATTGTATATAAGATTGAAAATGCCCGCGCGGTAACGGAAGTAATTTGTAAAGCCTTTAACTTGTTATCAATGAGGACTCCCAAATCTTTTATAGATGTTTTAAGGGCCAAAGCTATGCCATTGTGTTCATAAAGAACTTCTCGTTTTGTGCCAATGTGGAGCACGGAACTCTCAGCAATATTGACAGAGATGTCCCACTCAGCGCACCGTCGATTCATGGCATCTGAACGCTGTAAGGCTCCCACAACGCTGCGGTTCTCGTTATTGTAAGTAGCGAAATTTTAATGTCGTCAGCCTACATTAGCACATGAACGTTGGGATGTGTTTTCAAGATTCTAGATTTATGAATTATGTGACCAAGAAGTCATCATGAAAGATGAATATAGAAGAGAGGAACTGAATAAAATACAAAAACATTTTGTAATTACACCAACAGACAAAGCAAGTTCCAATTTCAGTCTCACCTGCAAAAAGTTGTACCTATTAATGATATTAAAGGAACTGGAACAAACAAACAGTAATGTACGAACGTACAAGATTACACAACTTAAATCGGAAGAAGTTAAAGGGATACATGAAAGAATATTACATGGATTGAATTTGAAAGTAAACCAAGACAAGGAAATACCCACAATATACGGGATTCCTAAAATGCATAAAACACCTATAAAATTTAGATTTATAACGGGAGCTAAAAATAGCACGTTGAAACCCCTGACAAAACTTTTGACACTTATACTTAGTCATATAAGAAAGCATTTTATGAACTACTGCAATGTTATCTTCCAGAGAAGTAAAATCAAACACTTTTGGGCGATTAATAATAGCATAACAGTACTTAAGGACCTTAGTGGTTGCCACGGAAACAAGAAAATTTTCTCGGCAGACTTCTCTAGCCTGTTCACGAGTTTACCGCACTCAGTAGTGAAGAACAATTTAAGTAAACTCATAAGGCTATGTATGAAGGGGTATAGATTTATAAGAATAAACAATCAAAATGTGATGTACACGAACGTTACGAACGCTAAAGGAAATTATTATCAAATAGAGGATATACTATATATGTTAGATTCTCTCTTGGATAATAGTTATCTTAGTTTCGCAGGTATGGTATACAAACAGGAGAGAGGTATCCCACAGGGGGCTTCATGCAGTCCTCAGATGGCTGATTTAACTTTATCCTATATGGAATATGAGTTTGTTAAAAGAATGAAAGCAAACAATAACGCGGGGAACTTACATAGATTCAACAACACCTACAGATACATTGATGATATACTACATATTTCCGAATACGCCACTGATTTCGAACGGTCCTTGACGGACATTTACCACAACGAACTTATCATAGAAAAAACTAACACGAAAGAAAATGAAACTAGCTTTTTAGACCTGAACATAAAAGTAACAAACAGTAATATAACATTCGCATTATATAACAAAACAGATGAGTACAGCTTCGAAGTTTTAAGGTATCCAATCTGGCAATCAAATGTACCCAGATATATCATTATCAACACTTTCAAAACCGAAACAATTAGAATATACAGAAATTGTTCAGATTACACTACTTTCAAAAACAGACTTTTGCAACTGGCAAGACTTTCCAAGAAAAATGGATGGGAGGAAAGAATACTAATTAGGACCTTATGTCATACTTTGAGGGATAACCCTTACATATTGCGTAAATATGGCTTTGATGTAGCTGTACATCTACCTTTGGTTCATGAAATAAGGGAACTCTGGAGGACATGATCTCAGTTCACAAAATATCATTGTGGGAATACGCTAAAACTCATTGTAACAGAATTTTTAGTTGATAATTACACTGGGAAATTAATTTTAGTTGATAATTACACTGGGAAATTAATTTTAGGCTCAAAGTTTGGTAGGTATAGTCTCAATAGACTCACATTTAAGCTTAAATACCCTTCATAATGCAACCTTATGCACTAAGACTATAGACCTGTGAAGCCTTAGAGTCCAGTAATTTTTCAATATTTGATCTTACCATTTTGCTGTACGCGCCCGCGCGCCAGATTAATTAGGTCGAATTCAAATCAGGCATACACACACATATATATCTGAGTAGATGGCGGGATCACAACTCATTTACACATATCTCACCTCATTTGGAGATAGTTCATCCGCATTCCTACCGTTACCCTTGTTTTTGTTCTACTTGAACTTAGCTAACTCCTTTTGGCTTTTTGATAGCACTATATAGGCTTTCAAGAACTTTTGCAGTTTTCCTGGGAACTACTGAAGAGGGCCACCAGGAAAGCTACTCTACCGGTATAGTTCTAAGGCCCGAAACCGGTTGAGTGTAAATTTCTTCTTATTTTATCTTTCATGAATCAAACATAGATGTTAAAAACTTGTCTGAATTCATTCACTCTATTTCTCCTCTTTGAGGCTTTCCTAGGTAGTTCGGCTGTGAATGATAAAAAGAAGTGGTGAAATTGGCTCCTTGAGGAGGCCCGCTAGGACATGGACAGGGCCCGGCACGAGGTGGGCAAATGACAAGCTGGAAATCGTTTTGGGGCCTAAAAGCAAAGGGGATACCGTTTTTGCGGGATCCGGGGCGGAGCCACGAAAGAAGATTCCAAGAGCAAGCAAAAGAAGGTCGAATCATGCTTACCTTATACATCTAATTCATCGGGAAATAGTTTCCATAAACCTCAACGCACAGCAGAGTTCGCGCGCGCTACGCCGCGTTGCCGCTGATTGCCGCGTGCGCGACGTCGCATGAGCGATGCCGTTGAACAGCATGATTATATGATCAGTTCTCAATGCAGATGTAACGATATAGCACCAAATTAAGTAAGCGAACGGAGAGAGGCTAGTGGAAACACAGTATGAAAAATTGTGAAAAACTTGTGTGAACGGAACGAGTAATAAGCATTTTTTGCGAAAGTTTTGCAAAATTGGTAAATGAAAATGTGAATTCAAATGGCTCGTTTACAGCGCACAGATGACGATATGGTATGATGTATCTACGTGCGCACGGGCCTGCAGGGCCAGCCTTAACTTAAAAGTTTCATTGAAACAATTATGTGACTGAAGGTTGTGGCAAGCTTTTTTCTGGAAATTTCCCGCTACCAAAGAAATGGAAAAATGGCTCGTTTGCAACGCAGAGGTGACGAAATCGCGCGGGACTCGGTGTTTATATGCGCAATAGGACTAAGTAATAAAGTATGAAATATTATGAAAAACTTATGTGAATGAAGAGCGTGCTTAACTAATTTCCAAATTAGATGGGCAATTGCCCACCTAATGCCCATCTGAGGTGGGCAAAACTCGCAATTCACATAATTTCTTCAAAATTTTCATATAAATCTGTTGAGCACCAAATTACTATATGGTGAGATTTTGTTTCCGAAACTCCTCCTCTTGTCTTTGTTAGAGCCCAAAATCGCATCAGCAGCCTAGCTTTCTGAGATGAAAAGCGCGCCCCAGTCAATCGATACGCGCGGGAAAGGCGTATCTCAGTCCTATGACTGCGTTACTTTGATATTTTTCCATTCCTTCGTCATTTTCCTTGCTTATTCTTCTTCCTGTTTTCTATCTTGATACAGGTGAGGAGTAATTAGAGAAATTTGAGCATTTTGGGCGCTTTTGAGCGCTTTTAGGCGAAATGTGGCCAGTGCTCTCGTTGCACAAGCACAAAGCATTTTTGTGCTCAAGATATTCGTAAAAACTGTTGGGATCAAAGGGAAATTCGTTTTGAAAAACCCCGTTTGCCCACCTCGTGCCGGGCCCTGGACATGGAAAGTGACCAGAATGTGCCTTACCAACTCGGACAGACACTCGAACATATAATCTTTCCCAATATCTTGCACGGTACAGAATTTATGCTTATGGGTCTAAAATCGGAGACTACTTATTTTGGGGACAGCAGATAATAGCTTCTTTCCAGATGTAGAGCATTTCCCACAAAGAAAGGAGGTAATAAAATATGAGAGAGAGAGACTGATATTTTTTCAGCACATCGTTTGAATATTATCTTTGGTAGTCCATCAGAAGTTTCAAAAGTTAACTGCTTGAGTTTTTTGAGCTGGCGTTCAACCGTATAGGGCATAATAGTGGGAGCTGGGCACACGTGCCGCAGAGGGGCGTCAAGAGTTGCAACTTTGGTAGTAACAATTGAAAATGTGCTTGCGAAGAATTCAGCTAATGCTTGCGCTTTGCATTCATCAGGCAAATGTGCATTACCCATCACATCTTTGACAGCTCCAAAGCTTTTGGTGGAAGCCTTGCTTCGAATGTAACTAAAGAGATTCTTGGAGTGTTCAGACAAAGCCAAGCGTTTTTCACAGTCAGAAACTTCTTGAGGTGGAATGCAATTGAGCAAACTTTTTTGTAAAAGGGGCTATCGTAGTGTTTCGCTTCAAAAAGTCTCTCTTTTTGCTGTAGAAGTGCGTGGGAGAGGCATTCCAAATTACCCACTTTCTGAACATCAAATGGAGTATATCTTTCTAAGATAGCGTACATGATGCAACAAAATATTTGTATACTTCTGAAAGTGAAGCATAAGAGTCAAAACATTCATCCGAATTGATAATACTAAGCTCGTTCTTTCATTGCTCGGAAGTCTATCCTGGTAAAAATGGGGCATGGCAGGAAC